TACAGCAAAATTGACAGTTTCTTTTGCTCAAATGGGTTCAAGAGGAGTGAGAATGAACCCACTATGTATTTCAAGAAACAAGGTATTGAAGACATAGTTTTAGTCAGCCTTTATGTTGATGACATGATTTACACTGGTTCATCATCAAAGATAATTCAACAATTCAGATTAGATATGATGAAAACATTTGAGATGACGGATCTTGGTGAATTGCACTACTTTCTTGGCGTCGAGATCAAGCAAACGAAGGAAGGGATCTTCTTGTCACAGAGAAAATATGCAACAGATATGTTGAAAGATTTCAATATGGAAAACATTGAATCCGAACGAGAAGTTGGTAACTAGAGATGGTACATGTGCGACGGATGCAAAAAGATACAGAAGCATTGTGGGTCGATTGATGTATCTCACACAGACGAGGCCGGATTTGAGTTTTGCAGTTGGGTTAGTCTCAAGGTTCATGCATTCTCCAACTATGCAACATTACGGTGTTGTTAAAAGAATACTACGTTATGTTGCTGGAACCAAAGAATATGGAATTTGGTATTCAAAGACTAAAGAATTCAAGTTAAGAGTCTACAACGATAGCGATTTGGCAGGTTCGCATGAAGATAGAAGGAGCACATCTGGGAATTGTTTCAGTCTCGGTTCCGGGCCAATATCATGGACCTCGAAGAAACAAACATGTGTAGCTTTATCAACGGCTGAGGCAGAGTACATAGCAGTTGCCATTACAGCATGCCAAGCAGTCTGGTTGCGAAGATTGATGAGTGACCTAAATCAAGAACAAAGTGAAGCTACAGTGATATACTGTGATAGTCAATCGACAGTTGCAATGACCAAAACTCCAATTATGCATGGAAGAACCAAACACATGGAGATAAAGTATCATTTCATAAGGGATTTAGTTGAAGCAGAAACCATAAAGCTCGAGTTGTGCAAGAGTGAAAATCAACTAGCTGATATTTTTACAAAGGCTCTTCCTTAAGCTCGTTTTGAAAGCCTTCGAACAAAGCTTGGTGTTTACAACTTTGAATCAAGGGGGAGTATTGAAGAATGATTCAAAGTCCTTTGAGTTGCTAGGCTTTTGGTTTGCTAGCCTTTTGGATTACTAGACTTTTGGTTTGCTAGTCATTTGGCTTGTCTTTTTTTAATGTTATCTTCCTTTGTAAGCTCTATATATAGAGAGCTCTTCTTTTCAATAATAGTGTGGTTTTTCATAGCATATTCTTGTTCTCCACTTTTATTCCAACATAACGTGCTTTTGATTACAAATATTTAGATGGCTACCGATTATATTTACTTTTGGTTTACTATTTACTCGTGTTTTGGATTTTTTTTTTATTCGTGCTGCTCTATCCTAATTAGATCTGTCTATTGGCCTTTACAGCTGTTTTGTTTTCGGTGTTTACATCAGTCTTATTTTTATTTGGTTTTGGATTATCAACAGTTCACAATGAACATATGGTTTCCGATAAGTGGCTGCAGGTTTGATAATATGGCCTTCTTGTCTGTTTGCTTTGATGATATGTGGTTTTTTGGACACGATATACAACAGAAGCTGTCAAAACAATTTCTGAAAATCAGGAGTGGTGTTCTTAATGTTTTGGGGTTGTTCTAAGGATGTAGGAATGATATGTATTAGAGTAAGAAGGGGGGTTTGTCGGAGTGACCGAGCCAAACGGAAGAATTGTCTCATTAAAGACGACGTGACGAGAAATGATGATGCTTTTGGTGGAGAGGTCAAGGCACCGAAATCCCCTATGATGAGAGGGGTAGCCAAGGAAGACACAAGGAGAGCTCCTAGGGGCTAATTTGTGAGAGGTGGTGAGGTGAGGGTAGCAAAGACAGCCAAATATGCRGAGATGAGAGTATGAAGGATGTTTTTKAAACAACCGGTAGTGAGGTGTTTCATAGTTGATGGTTGTGGATGGAAGGATGTTGAGGAGATGGGTAGCCATATGGAGGGCTTCGACCCAATAGGTGGGAGGGAGATGAGCGTGGAAAAGGAGGGTGCGAACCATATTGTTGATGGTTCGAAGCATACGCTCCGACTTTCCGTTTTGTTGGGACGTGTGAGGACATGAGAAACGGAATTGGATACCTTGGGAGGCAAAAAAATTGTGAAATAATTGATTATTATATTCACCACCGTTGTCGCATTGAAAAAATTTAATGGTTGCGTTAAATTGAGTTTTAACAAGATGGAAAAATTCATGAAATTTATTGAAAACGTCAGACTTATGTTTGAGAGGATAAACCCACAAGTAATGAGTAAAGTGGTCTAAGAAAATAACAWAGTAACGCAATCCACTAATGCTAGAGATGGGTGACGTCCAAACATCGGAGTGAATTATTTCAAAAKCATGAGAAACAACGGAATTAGAAACGAAAAACGGAAGCTGAACATGTTTTCCAAGTTGACAAGAATTGCAAAGAACACTAKTTTTATCAYTATGACAAGAAATAAAATTATTTGAAACTAATGACTTCAAGACTTGATCGTTGGGGTGACCGAGYCGTTGATGCCATGTGGAGTGAGCTGTCGAGAGAAGCACTTGAGGGTTGGAGGGGTTGACCGGGTAGAGGGGACCGTCGCTATCACATCGGATTAGAGGGCGCCGGGTCTTGTAGTCCTTAACAGTAAAACCAAAACTGTCAAACTCAATAGAAGTTTTATTTTGACGAGTAAATTGACGGACAAATATAAGATTTTTTATAATAGTGGGAAATATGAGGATATGTCTAAGATGCAAAGGACGGTACGGGTTGGTGATGGGAAAGGGGGCATGTCCGGTGTGCTTTACAGGCATTTTGGATCCATTACCGACAAGGATAGAACGAGTATCATGAGTTTCAAGAACATATTTTAGAATACCTGAGTTTGCGTGGACGTGGTCGGTTGCCCCGGTGTCCATGTACCAATCTGTGAAGCCCGGGTCGTTTAGAGACATCGAGTTGAACAACTCCGGGAGAGACGTAGCTTGATCCGGTGGGGCCCAAGTCCACGGGGGAGTGGCGGCGGCAGKCGATTGGCTGCTGTCCGTAGCGGCAGAAAAGTGGACTGCCGGGCTGTATGGCGGTGGCGCTTGCCACGGTTGAGCGGGCCGGTTGTGGCGGGCCGGTTGTGGCGATGGGGCAGCAGGCGGTGGACCAAGCAACCCAGCAGTTGGCTGCTGCCAGTAGGCGTGCGGTGGCTGTTGTTAGCGGGGCTGATTTGACAGACTCGGCGACGGTGGCGGGATGTACACCCAACCATAGCGTTGCTGATTCRGCGGCTGTCGGCGGCGACCTTGCTGCTGGCGACGGTCGTTTCGGCGGCCATTCCCACGATTTCYTCCGTTATTGTTCACGTGGAGGATGGTGGACGATGAGGAATGGTCGGTGTGAGGCACAACGGGTGTTGGGCGTATTTGAGCCATCCKTTGTTCTTCCAAAARAAGCATGGAACGAGCTTCAAAAAAAGTTGGAAGAGGAGAACGGTACCTTATGATATTGGCCACCGAATCGAACTTCGAGGAGAGTCCGTTGATTGTGTAGATCACAAGGTGTTTGTCGGGTATTGTGGAGTCCGGATCGAGGTTCGCAAGAAGGTCAGCAAGTCTCTTGATTTTGGTGCAATAGGCAGTGACGGAGAGATCGCCCATCACAATGTTGCGTAGCTCGCTATCGATTTGCATGGATTTGGCATCTTTGTTGTCACGAAAGAGAGTCTCGAGATTGTTCCATACTTGAAGCGCGGTCGAGTCTTTCTTCAACACCATTTGGAGAAGGGATTGTGAGATCGATCCGTAAATCCAAAGTTTTACGATTGAATCCACCTTTTTCCATTCTGCGTCCGTGGGTTTAGGAGTAGATTCGTCGATGTGATCGATGACGTCAAAGGCAATACAATGGGTGGAGAAAAGTTCTCTCCACGCATCATAATTGAGACGATCGAGATCAAGAATGAGAGGAACGTAGGTTTTGATATTCGTTATACCGAAAACCTTGTTTGGGAGAGTTTGATTGACGGACATGTTTGAAGGGAGGCAAGAACGATTGAGGAGGAGGAGGCGGCGATGGGAGGCGTGGCCGGCCCTAGATCGCGAAAAGAGAGGAAGAAGGGAGGAGGTTGAGAGGAATTAGGAAGGGCTCCTAATTTTGCTTTGATACCATATTAGAGAGAATGATTTTCCTTGATTGATTAAACACAATACAATCACTTAAATATACAATATATGGGCCATGGGCCAAACACTATACGGGCTAATAAACTAAGCCTAATATACAATGTAATCTGCTAACAATATTTTGGTGTATGGGGTGCAGCCTCTAATTTTGATGGAAATAAATTACATCGGAAATCAAACGGGGAGTTGGAATAGTGGTTCTATTATAATGTAGGGGTGGCTGTTTTCTGGTTGAAGCCTTCATCAATTAATGGAGTTTGGTTAATAGGATGTTACTTTGATTAATTAGTTTTGCAAGGGCTATTGGCCATATTGCAAAATTTGGGAGCTGGAGTAAATTAATCATCTGTGTGCCATTATATTCCAGATTAAATATGTGGCTTTAAAAGATTCAATCTTGGATTCGAACTAACCATTAGTGGGATTCAATGGGGTTGGTTCCAATTTGGGTATTTGAGTAGAATGGGTAGTTTCTGGTTACAGCCATGGGAGCAAACCGACTGCAACCAATTTTCATGATCGAATTTGATTGTTATGATTTTGTTTTATTTAGAACTTGAACAAGTAATATTATGTTTGTTTGGATTAATATAGAATGTTGTTTTGAACAAATAATATTGAGTATGTAGTTTATATTTGCAAAATTATTGTTTCATTCACATATGTATCTAAATAGGTATATGTCATTCAGAACTAAATCATAAAGAGCTTTAAAATTGTAATAAAATCGTCATTCAGACTTATTCACAACAGTATCCAAACAACCATATTTTATTTTGCATTATATCATATAGAAAGTCTCTTAAACATTATGATCACTTAACCATTCTGCACGACACTACTAAAAAAAGGGGTATCACCGGCGGAAATTCCGTCGGAAATATTCCTGACGGATTTTCAACGAATCCCAAAAAAGTCAAGAAATGTCAACTTTTATCGACGTCTGCCACAAATCTCCCACAAATTTGTCACTGAATTTTTGAAAAATAAAATCATTTCTACAACTTTCCCGATGGTTTTTCGACGGATTTGTGACAGAGTTTTTTACTTATTCAAAACCGTCACAAATCCATCGGAAATCCGTCACAAAAATTGTTCTAATTTATTTAAATTAATTAATTAGCGTTAATCAATAAATTATCGACGGAATTTAATTTTTTTATTATAAATTAAATTCCGTCGGAACTTTTTAAACCTTTTTGTATATATATTTTTGGTAGGGACAAAATAGCAATATTTTTTTTCTGATGAAATTTTAATTTTTCTTATTAAAAATTATATTCCGTCGAAAATCTGTTGGTAAAATTAAACTTGGAAGAAAATAAAAAAAAATCATTTTTTCAAGTTTAATATTACCGACTGAATTTAATTTTTTTACTAAAAATTATATTCCGTCGGTAATATTAAACATGGAAAAAAAATAAAACATTTTTTTCTTTGAAAATTACCGATGAAACATAATTTAATTTTATTTATTAAAAATTATATTCCGTAGGAAATCCGTCAGTAAATCCAAACTTGGAAAAAAATAAAATATTTTTTCCTTTGAAAATTACCGACGGATTTCCGACGGTATTTTATTTTATTTATAATTAAAGATTATATTCCGTCCGAAATTTTTATTTTTTTAAATATACATTTTTTGTAGAAAAAAATAAAACATAAAAACTTTTTTCTTAAACAATACCAATGGAGTAGTCGTATGTCCACTTACATTTAATGGATCTATTGGCTTTATTCGGTTCAATTGGGCTTTTACATGTATTATTGAGTTTTATTGGATCTTGGTGGAATTTAATGGATCTTAGTGAATTTTATTCGGTTCAAATAGGCTTTAATGGAGTTATTGGATCTTATTTGGTTCAATTCGGCATTAACGGGTACTAATTGGGCCTTTTCTGAGAGTTGCCCTATTGACATACTTTGTTAATTCGGCACAACCTGGATATAATGCACATTGTAAAGAATGTATTTGATAATCTGTTCCATACGATTATGGATACACCAAAATCAAAGGACAAAATAAAAGCAAGAAAAGACATAGAAGAAAATTGTAATCGACCGGAGTTGCATATACGTGAGGAACGAAATAAAGTATTTAAATCGAAAGCCTCTTACACATTGAACGAAATCAAAGTATTTAATGGATCTTAATGAATTTTCCAACTGCAAAATCCGTCGGAAAGTTGTTTTTTCGAAGGATTTTGCCGTCGGAAAACCCCCATTTTTTAGTAGTGTGAAACCATTCCGAAATTGTCCAATTAACAACCCCTACGTCTATTAACCATGTTTGATTGCTGTTTGATGGAGATTTTGAGTAGGTCCGTGGACATAATATGATTACATGAACTTGTAATTGATCTTAATAACGAAGAGGAGTACCAGAGGAACCTTCATGGTGGCGACGATATTCACATCCACAATGTATTCATTAACCCTAGGCGCTATTTTCATCATTGAAAAGGATAGCGATGTGCTTTAGAAGAATAAAGAGTTGTCGAGGGAGCAATGCAAGGAAATCAATTTATTTGAGAAATAATAAATCACAAGTTGTTGAATATGTTTCTTATTTAACAAATTGATAAAAATATCTTTAAAAAATCGATATAAGTTATTTTAAACTTGTTTTATTTTTTTCGAAAAATTTGTCTCCTTATAAACAAAAAATAAACTATTTAACCCTACATTATTTGAAAACATTATCAAATTTAGAAAGATGCATGCATGCATGGATGGAAGGAAGAGATTTAAATATTTTTTTGTCACAGCCTGTGGCTCGTGCCTATAAATATGGAGGCAATCGAAATGGAGCTACATGTACAACATCATAAGTTTCCAAATGAAAAGGCTCATAAACAGCTTGGAGAATGGTATACTCTTTCACCAATGATGTTTATATCTGATTTACTTACTTTCTTCACTGATCGCTTTTAGTAGTTATGTGATTTGGATCCATATCTGATAGTACGAGGTATAGTTCAATTTCTCTAAGTACCGGAGGTTGCGTTCTCTTATGTGAATAAAGTCGGTACTGAAGCAATTGTTGAAAAATTTGGTGGTGATGGTGGGACAACTCATTTGGTAAGTAATATTTGATATCATATAAAGCTACATCTACCTAAGCTAGTTAAGTACATATGTATGTATGATTGTTGGCTTTTTTATTTGATATACCCTTTTCGATGCCTCAAGTTTCCTTTGGTGACGACGAGAATATCATTGTATTCAGTGGAACTGTTGGACCATATAGTGGCATTACGGTGATTACGTTCTTAATTTTTGAGACCAACAAAATCGACTATGGACCATTTGGCACGGTGGGGAACAGCAGTTTCTCACTGCCTTTGACTAAGGGTAAGTTTGCTTGATTCTTTGGAAGGACGTGTTTTAGTAGACTCTATTGGCGCCGTACTTGTTCCCAAAGTAACCAGGCTCAGCAAGAATGCAAGATTATACAAGACACTCTATTGTTATTTAGACTAGAATGATGAACAATATTATGTGTACACACCAATGTTAGCATTTTTGGGTTGCCAGCCAAGATTATCAAAAGAAATTATGTCAATTAAATGTCCACCAACCCAAGGGTTTTCTATGGCAATAAATTAAGTAGTACCTGCAGTATCAGTATCAGTATCAGTATCAGTATCAGCTACACCTTCACAATATATCTCTGTTTTTTATGATCGGAATATATTTTTTATTGGATGATATATAAAGAACAGCCCATAAAAAGGCCAAGATATTCGATTAAAGGGTTGGACAGAAAGCCGAACAAACATATAATCAACATTTCAATTCCAATAAATAATTCCTTTCACTTAGATTCACTCGAGTGGTAGAGGTGCATGGAATTGAATGATCAACCATAGAATCCCGAGAGGTTAGTTTTTCTATGATCGTTCTAGAATTTTAATTTTTCATCTGTATACATATTGGACCATAGGTGCTTGGGAAAGCAAAAAATTTGTTTCTTTTCTTTGTAACAATAGATACGTTGACACCAATATCCATCATATCATACGAGTCACTCTGAAAGCAACCGCCCCACATCTTTTGAGATATTTATGGGGTACTTATATTTGATAAACGAATCTACAACCGCCCCAAACTAACTATAGTTGTTAACAAGCTCTAACAACCTGGATTTTGCGTTAGACATTCATTAGAACAAGCTCTTTAATTAAATCTTAACACCAAATGGAAATTTGAAAAAACTCTGAAATTCCCATGTGTAGTCAGCATTAACGAGTTAGTATAATCATCAATACAAAGCAATAAACTCACAAGATCGGCATATTAGAGCTCTGATTGCAAGAGTTCAAGAAACTGATTTTAAAACCTTATTGAGATCGAAGGATTTCAGTTGCCACATTATCAAAATCCCTAAACGATCATGTATCTAGTGTTTTCAATAACTATTTTCCAAAATAAATTATCAATTAAATGATCAGCTTAATGGAGAACTCAAGTGAAAATGACAATCATATAGAAATCAAGTAGATACACTTGTTCACAACATATTATAAGAATCTCAAATAAAATACATCAACAATCACAAGCTCGAGTATTCTTGAAAACAAAAACGAGTTACCCTCATAATGAAGATGGAAGAAATAACTTCAATACTTCTCTTTCTCCAAAAATTGTCCCTAAGTCTGCTCCCCTCAACCGGAGGTTTCCAACTCATTTATACCAAGAAAATAGAAGAATGGCTCAAGATCCAAAAATTGGTGAAATTGGTCCTGTAGTGAATTATGCAACCCTTGCATGTGACCCAAGCCCACGACCCTTGGATTTCAAGCTAGCATTTTGTGTACTGTAAGTTCATACCTTATATGAAACCC